TATGTAGGAAATAGTTTATTTTGCTATCCAAAAACGCTTTTGTAGTCTGACTCTGGCGGTTTCACCCCTGCGGAGACACCTCTGTAAGCTCTCAGTCTCGGCTGAAGATCGCCCAGTCAGAAGCTCGAACTTCCGTTGTAAGCTTCCGCGTTGGCGCTGGCGATTTTGAAGCAACGCGGTTGAGATTTCTCAAGTTCGCTCCAATTTCTGTCTCCCGAACGGTCACAGAAATGTGTTGCTTTCAACAACGTCAGCCCCCNCTCCGGCCCCTCCCCCCCCCTCCATTCTTCTTGCGCCGCTTTTGGAATCTTTGTAATCCATGATTATACGGATGACGCATTCATTTTTATCTGGACGTCTGTTTTCTGAAACAATGCTCGCTGCTCGGCCACGAGCAGTCTCTACTCCAGCCTCGTCCACGCTCCGCTACGAAGGAGCCTAAAATCGACTGAAAAAAACTCCGGCCGTGGAAGCCATACTTGCGGGCTACATAGACATTCCTATCGTCCGCTTTTCGGGTTCTGAGGCCGAAAGTTCCGGGCGTAGCAGCCGGAGCAATTGAAACTATGGTTTCAGCACCTAACCTACCACTGAATCTGCACTGAAAAAAAAGTTACGGAATATCCGTAAGTCCGTTCCGGGCTTAGAGGCCGAAAGTTCCGGGCAAAACAGCTAGAGCAATCGAAGCTATATGGCTTTGGCACCCGGAACTTTCGGTCTCTGTACCCGAAACGAGCGGTATGTCTATATAGCTCGTAACTTTTGTTTTCAGTGCAGTGGCGGGATATGAAGCATCAACTGTCGATGAACTGTCACTTGAAATTTTAGCTAAGAATCGATTATCAGGATCATGAAAACCATGATAATCGATCCTTTTCCGTAGGTTTAGTACAGCAAGTCAGCAATCGATTAATTGCAAAGCACACGCCACGGCTCTTTACTTGAGCAAGAGGCGAGGAAAATCCAATATTCCGTCCACGTAATGGCGTCTGTACCATGGAATAAGTGGAAAATGCGTGGATTTATCGAAGGGTGAACACATTTCTGGGACGTTTGAGTTGTTCCAGAATTTTCCTCTCGCTTTTTTTCTTAACGACAGGGGACAATTTTTGGAACATATTTTACTTGAAAATGAGGCGAGCAGCGAGTCATTTTTGTAAGTGAAGAGCGTCACGAGGTTTGCTCCGGAAATTCGATGGCCTTATCGCTTGTCATGAGCAATAAACCGTCGCGCTGGTGGGTAAATAGGCAGTCATGGATGGGTCCTGGGAATTATTTAGGTTCGGTTCTATACCTCCTCTTTTAAAAACCGTCCAGCGGACAAAACTTTACACTGGGAATAAAGATTTCTATTCGAGCGGACAGGAATTTCGATGGAATATCTCTCGAACGAATCCAAATTTTCATTTTTTTTTTTGAGAAAAACAAATGATAAAAGTTGAAAACAAATATGTTGTAAAAGTAGGAAGTGTCGAACTTCTATGACAACTGCAAGGCCCAAGAAATATTCAAAATATTTTTTTTCCAAGGAACTTTACATGAAACTTTTGTTTGGAAATTGCTAGAAAATCGCGTCTCATGGTGCGGAAGTTTATTTTTCTTCTTCGCATTCGATTTTTCATACTTTTCAGAAGAAATCATATCGTCAGCTGTCTCATTACGCCAAAAGCAGCAGACAAACGAGTACTATTCTTAGCGTGCTTTGCAAACTATTCGCGCCATCAATGAATGTGTCAATGAGTAAACAAAAGACGAGCTGAGTTACGAGCAAATCGGAGAGTATGAGCTTTGAATTTGAGTCGCCGCCAACGTAAACATGAGTAAAGAGCGCCCATTGATTAAAATTGATTCCCTATCGATTTGGTTCGTATTCGATTCATCGATACCTACGGAGCCAAATCATCGCCGGACAGTTTTTCAAAGTTGAATTTGCCCGGAGCAAGAGATATTAGACAATATAATTTTCATTTCACACAGGGACTGAACTGAATTTGCGGATGAATCTTTAGAGTTCGATATTTTATTGTCAGTAATGGGTCAGAATTGCATTCGAGTAGTCAAATCGAACGATCAACGAAGCTTAAATTTAGGTTTTACCAAAGAAATTTTTCGGGAGTTAACAGCAAAATGAGTTTCTATGCGTACTAGATCCATTTTTTGCGAACAATTTTAAGTGAAAGCAGCATTCTTGAAACCATTGTGCTTCTTAAACAACGGGCCGTAACAATTGTCATAATAATCGCTCCGGATGATTTGAGTTCATAGGTTTCCTGCCCTCTTGGGCCCTAAAACCCCAAAAAGCTCCATGACGTAACCTTAAAATACCGACATGTCTATACTCTTCTTAGGTTCTTCTTCATAGGTACCTCTACTTTATTTACCTTAGTGGGCCGATTATTGAAAGTTTTAAGCATCACGATAAGACATCAAAATGCGACACATTGCTTGGTCAAGGTAGAACTACCTATGTACGGGACAGTATTGCCATCTCTATGCCGCTCTCCGGTTGGTTCATCAGTTTTAGGCTGTCATAGACCTCCAAAGTTGATCCAGTGTAAACAAACCCGACCCACAGAAATATTTGGTATCGACTGAGAAATGAATGAAAATCACACTCAAAAGTTATATTCCGCCACAAATATCCATCAAAGTTCGATCCGAACTCAATTCAAAAGTTGCATATAAAAAAATGTCTATCACATCCAAAATCACGTCTAGAACTTTGTAGAACTTTGTCACTATCTTGTATGTTTACATTGGGCCAAACTAGGAGCGGAGAGGCTGGGGTTTGTTTACACTGGTCCAACTTTGGGACTCCATGATAGCCGACCAATCAGAGAGCAGCACACTTTTTCTGCGGTAAAAGGATTAAGATTGCAGTAATCTCCCGTGTACAGGTACTCTAGATAGGACTATGTCTTGTCTTGTCTGATCGGTATGAATTCAATAATCGGGCCGTAGCGACGGATACTAAAGTGAGTATGGATTCCCGCCAAACGGCTTGGCAGTGGCCGGCCGTCTGGGCCCGTTCAAATTGTACCAGATGAGATTATCACTGTGCGTCGGATCGGATGAGACACTATTGTCGTCATCCATCCTCTTTCCGCGCACCTCCTTCCTCCTCCACACTGGTCTCATGGCGGGATCCGATGACTTATGAATGAGACTGACGGCCTCCCATTCATAAGATCCAATTCGCGGATCCTATGGCTCCTCCGTCCCAAGTTGTCATCTTTCGCGCGGATTCCAGTTTCTTTCGTTCAAAGCAAGAACGTCGTAACTTCACTCATGATCCGAAGTCCGTTCGCCGTTTCCTCGAGAAAGAACGTAACTTCATTTCAATGTTGCCAATTTCTCCCGCGGATTGCATGTTAGCTTGGAGAGCTTCCTGCTTTGAAAAGTATATTATACACTGGAAAAAAAACCACATTGGATCTAGAGTCCAGACTCTTAAAAACATCGACAAGAAAAAATACTCTTGATTCAATCAGATTTAAGCTTAAATCAAGAACCAAGCCTCTTAATTTGAGCGGATTTACTTTTGATTTAAGCTTAAATCTGATTGAATCAAGATTCCTTTTTCTTGTCAATGTTTTCAAGAGTCTGGACTCGAGATCCAATGTGTTTTTTTTCCAGTGTAGCAAAGACAAAATGACCGCAGTTATAAGTGTCGCAGTGTCTCAAATAATAAAAAGCAACATAACAAATCTACGGTGAAACTCCCAAACCACATATCTCATTTCCGGTATTTATAAAATATTCGCTCCTGTTTTATTTTTTTAAATGAGAACAAACCGTACATCATTCCTTTAAGTTTTTTCAGAATTTGCTTCGCTCGGACAAGAAAAATCACGGAAGTTTTTTGGGATCGACGTTCTAAAAAAGAGTATGACACAAAGTCTACTTCACAAACTTAGTTACGTGGTTTGCAAGTTTGATTACTGAATCTTAATCATGTAGATGTTGTGACCGTAAAAGCAACATCTCATTTTGAACCATTTTTTTTTAACTTCCCTTGAAAAACTATCTCCAGAATATTAAAGTATTAGTAAAAGTATCGTAGGTGGTTGTTACTTTTCGCAAATATTTTTACATATTTTTTTTTCGAGTTTATTTTTAGGAGGAAATTATAGAGTAATCCGATTAAAATGATGGATTAATTAATTGCATCGAGAAACTGCTGTCAATATTAAATTTGGATTTTCCTCCTTCGTCCCCCTCTTTTTTTCACCTCCTCTTTATCGCATTTTCAGATTAAAATGACGGGTAAATCCCGTGACTCCCCACATTTGCCCCATGTAACGTATTACTTTAAGAAATTCTGAAAACTAGATTGGCAGTAATATTTAATCATGAGGAGCAAAGTATCCCATTAAAACCCGAGTAACCACTACATGTAAAACAATGATTGCCTATGTACAGTTTTCCATCAACTGAAGGAACTTTTATATGTTTATTGCCGCCTTCCTTATCCTCATGTTTTTCAATATTATTGCGTCTCTTTAATTATATTTCTGGGTGCCCTGACCTTTTTGAATGTTTGGATAAGAGGACGCAAGTTACACCTATGCCTAAAATATCGGTTTGAAATCTACATATTTCAACTTTCTTGAGCGATTTTTTTTCTACCAACACAATATGTCCAATACGATTGAATGAAAAAAATGGAAAATTATTAGATCCAGCGAGGGAAAGTTAATGATTTAAAATGTATTCCTTTTTTTTCTATACTTCACTTTTTTATGTCATGATAAACTTTAACCACAAGTCAGCTACAAGTCTGTGGTTACTTTTAATTACCCTCCTCTCTGTGTGTCGTTCGTGTGATCACTGTTTCGGAGAAGCGTTCGTTCGAGTCGGGTGAGAGAAACAGTGGAAACAGAATTAGAACCATTAAGGAGAGGAATATTCCATTTATCTGATAAAAAAAAAGATGCTCATAAAGGTCAGGAGATGTTACGAGGGAACGCTCGAGCATTTGAGAAGCTTATTTGTGATCAAAGTCTCTTTCAGCTTTCGTCCCCTCAACCCCGCGGCTTCCCAACGCTCGCACGGCTCATAATTTTCTTCTTGCCTCGTTGCCAACGTCACTACAACAGTCGCATAACCGCTTTTAAAGAGGCTGGTTCTAACACTAGCATACGCCGCCATCTTTAAAGTCAAAATCCTCTAAGTGAATAAAGCTTCGAGAATACAACCACCCATTCCATTTTTTACTGAGATAATTTCGCTTTCGCTAATCTAAAATTGTCTTGAATTTATTAATTACGTGACGATTTGGCAACAACGCGTCTTGTTTGCCCCTGCCTCTTTTGCCGCCCATACCTTACCCGCCCCCCGCTACAGTCAACCCATCAGTCGCGGGCAGTAAGATTTTTTACTTGTAAAACGCTGTACATGTGTATTTTAGTTTTAGTTTTGTGAAAGGTTTCGTTTTCTTTGTTCCGGACTAAGTATGTGTTAACGGCGCGAAATAGGAGAAAAATTAGCAAAGTTTTTAAGGGAATTGACGTCTTACGCGTGACTTCCATCATGTCAGGTAATTTAATTTTGCGTGATTTTATTTTAATTGATTTTTTATCAATCATCTTAGACAGCTTTGATTTTTAAATATCTTTTAACATCATTTTGGTTTCATGATTATGGTCACGCATATATATTTTCTCTCTATATAAAATACCATGTAATAGCAAAATTCGGAATATAAGTTTAAAATACGGTATACGGTAACTTAATTAATACTTGAGGCGTCTCCGACAGAGGCTACGTTTAGTTTACTGTCATGGTTTAAAGGTGGTGAGAATGCTTCATTTTATATTTTATCCCACGATGACACCTGTTCAAATGTATATGCAATCAAACAGAATCAAATCAAAAGGTCACAAAATATAATCAGCAGTGCATTGAGCAGATATGAAATTATTTTATTTGTTATCGTTCCCACCATGTAATTGTTGATACAAGCTTCGTTAGTCCACATGATAAAATTTGCTATCCGCTCATTCACAAACCTCTTTCACTCTTGCCTAGTCCACTCAAAGCAATGGTTCTGGATTGTGAATTTTGGTTAAAGCTGAAAGTGTTTGATGCGGACTGAAAATCCATTGCAGGACTAACAAAAACATTAATCGAAGGCTCGGAGGACAAGGCGCATAAGTGCAGTTTTTGAAAAATTGAGATATTAATGATTTCAAGTAAAACTAGTCTTATTGCATATTTTGTGAAACATTTGCTTCCAGATTACAATTTTTAAGCAGCAGTAAGTCATTTCGAACTTTCTTTGCGCCATAAGGATTCATGTAATTTCAAAACTTACATAAACACGTATTTCTCGAAATAGCAGAAACTGCACTTATACGCCTTGTTCTCCGAGCCCCTCAATTTCCGGTCTTTTTTTCTTCTTTTAATTTTTGCAAAATTACCCGCAGTAGCGCGACCTTGTCTTAATTTTTCTTGTTGATGCTGAACATCGAAATCCTTTCCAAGAAGTTTCAATTCCGCAATTTTTCCACGCGTCTGTCAACTTTGAAGTCGTTTTTTAAAATAATTTGGCAATATTGCTTTTTGTCTGAGAACAATGCATCTCACTGCATACTTCCAAGCATTGTGCAATCCGTTCAACATTTATTTTTGAATTAAACGCGTTAATTTCGAAGAATTTAAAACATTTCAATCTTTACATGGTTGCTTACATAGTGGACATGCAGCCTATAAAATCACTTTTTACGTCCATGTGTTAGGTACCGAAGAAACTTATATTTATTTAAATATTTTACAACTTTCCGCATGTGTTAGCAACTTTAAAAAGAGACTTGGAGCCGATAATAATTCAATACATCTCTTAGAAAATTCGTGAAGTCTTCTAAATAAATTGCATTTTCTGAACCAAATCAACTCAAGTAAAACTATAACGAGACTCTGAAATTTTAAAAAGTGTTATGCTCACGGCGCCCATTTGGACAGAAAAACGACATCTTAGAGCCAAATTACCACAATTTTAAATTTGAAAAAGTGTGTTAAGTTGGATTGACACAATGACAATTTGACGTTAATAATGGTGCTTAGTTGTCGCGACTGTTACTACTCGGTGTATACCCTCTTGTATAGGAGCATAATAACTTTAAAAATTAAAACAAAAAACGCGTGGAAAGTAATTTATACTAAATCTAACAGACTTTAGAAAATATAATTAATAAAGGAAAGAACAACTTTAAAAAAAACCGATTTCACAAAATTTCACATTCTTAAATTAGTCACCTAGAGTGGCAGTTATTCACTGAAAGCTCAAGGCGCGGTCAGATGCAAACTGCAGCTGATTTTGTCCCGTAACAGAAACAGAGGAGTAATCTCAAAAACCGTGACCTACACTCATTGAATGAATCAGATTACTATGATTAGATAAATCCTGAATTTTTTCACGAGATAAAATTGATAATGTATGTAAGATGTGTAAAGTTGTTGACATTCATTTCAGATAGCGTTTAAGCGCCAATAAAGCCATAATCTCAAGCCCTTAGTTCCGATACGATAAGCTCTTATCCGAAAGTTACTGAAATCGCGCCTTTTGTTTTGGATAATAACTCACTGGCGCGGCGCTTAGCTTATCCAATTTGATAAATTTATATTTATTTCTTCCTCCGTTGGAATGTCATCGATTTAAAATTGCAGTGTTTTACAGATAAGCCAACTAGTGATATATTTCTTCACTTTCCAACATATATATATTTCAAACAAGCTTGATTTTTGTATACTAAGAGAATCAAGAGCACTTGTTTTTCTAGATATTTTTTATTAAAATGCTACACCAATGCGAACATATTTTGCAAATCTGAAATGTATGAAGTCACATTATTTAGCACGATTTTTGGAATTCTTTTGAAGTTGACTATCCAAAAATGCTCGTAGTTAGAGATGAAATACGTCTATCATATTAGCGCACTTAACAACCTTTTTTTTAATTATAATCTTCTATTTGAGGAATGAATGAACGTTCAGCATGACCGAATCGAAAATCGGCATGAAATTTAGTATGTTTGTGACTGGAACTTAAAGTGGAAGATTTTTGTGCTATATCCTTTTTTCTTAGTCGTTCGTTGAAGTCTCTGCGATTTTTTACGTAACTGGACGTTTCTCCGCCATTTTTGGTTTCTTTTCGTCAAACTTATCTTAAAATCAAACGAAGGTGATTGTATCTGACTGTTTTAGACCCTTTTTGTTTAAACCAACGCCAGAGTATCCATCGAAAATGTCCGGTAACTTTATAGGGAGGAACAGATATAATGTAACAACCACTGCAACTTGAAGCAATATTTCAAGCCAATCAAAAAGCGGTTATCATGCATAAAGGCTGTTTCTTTGCACCTACGTGTGCAAGAAGCAGTTCATTTTGATATTCTCGTTAATTAATTAATAGTGGAATTTTAACATTGCCTTTTTTAGAGAAAACAAATGTGTGTAGGGATCTTCCTCTACACAGCTGATATACCTACAAAATATATTATAGTTCAATGAGGATTAACGATACTGAGCCTTACAAATTGTCAGCCCGAATCAGCCGCAAACTGGCCGAATCATACTCAGACGGTGGAAAATTTCCCTTGATGAAAAATGTATTTCTTAAGGAAAGTTTTGAACACTTTTCCTCGGAATTAGATCAATTCTTTATAAAATTGGGAGTAAAATATTCACAGGTTTTCTTGAAAATTTGGGTTTTATCAAAGGAAATTTTGCAACGTCTGAAGACTCGTCAAGCGTTCTCTAACATGCCTAAGAAGGTGGAGATCTTTTTATGATGTTGGAGATGTTTGAGGCAATGTCGTGTTCAAGCAAGAGTTAAACTCGGCCTCACAGTGTAGACTTTTAACTGTGCACCATGGAGTGCACTTTGACCCTATTCCCGTGCACCTGATTGTGATGAACTCTGACTCTTCCACTGATTATGATGAAGGGATGAAAGTGAAATATTAGAAGAGGGCAGGATTTTCAAACTGGCCGTGTGAGAATTCTGAAAATACGTAGAAATCACCGTTGTAAAAACCGAAAATAAATCAACCTAAAAATACTGTATTACCTTCGGAAAATACACTAAAAGACACAGAGAATTTATGCATATGCTGCGTCCGTACATGTATAAACTTTCTGATATTACTCCTCCTTTTTTGAATTCCAGTTTATTTAACACTGGAAAAAAAACACATTGGATCTAGAGTCCAGACTCTTAAAAACATCGACAAGAAAAAGTTTTCTTGATTCAATCAGAATTTAGCGTGAATCAGGAACCAAGCCTCTTAATTCAAGCGGATTTCGTTTTGATTCAAGCAAAAATCCGATTGAATCAAGAGTATTTTTTCTTGTCAATGTTTTCAAGAGTCTGGACTCTAGATCCAATATGTTTTTTTTTTTTTTTCCAGTGAGCATATTGTTTCCCATGGCATGTGCATGTTTTGAATAAATTAAAAAAAAAAAAAAAATGAACGCACAAACAATCGCGGAAACAAAATTAAAGTCCGACATTTAAATTCCACCGTGGCAGGAGCCAAGAGAGGCACCATTGCGGTATGTTAGCAGTGTGTTTATTTAGACCTCTACTAAATTCCCGTGTAATATTTAAAACGTATAATTATTTCAAATTACTAATTTTGGTATTTCTCGCTTCGGATCAGATCTCATTACATTAGGAATGACTGATAATGACCCTTTGCCTCTGCTCTCTAATGAAGTAGTCTGCCTGTTTGTGCTTCCTTGGCTCCAGTTTGACCTTTGGAGTCCTAATTCCCAAGTAACATGCGCCCAACTCGTGTCTTTGATGCCACGTCTTGTCACTGCCTCTCATGTCTGCCAAAAAGTACTAATAATATCCACTTCCCACTCTAATAACTCAATGTATACCATCCAAATTTTATCACAAAATCTGACAACCTTGCATTCACTGTTCTCTCAGAATCCATTGACGTAATTTTTGACAGATTGCTCAGTTTACTACGTCCTCACATTATTTGAACGAAGCTGTTATCGCATTCAAGCTATCAGTTGGATTCTATTTGATTGGAACTTTTATTTGTCCAATGATAAAGTGAAAATCATGATGTTAATCTATAAAGAGAATCACAGCTTGCTATATCTGTGTGCGGCTTATAAAATCGTTATTTTTAGTATCATTTAGAGTATCGCGGTTTGCTGTAATTTATGTGAGGCATTAAAATTGTTATTTTTGAATTGATTTTTGCTGTCTCCACTGCAAAGGTCTTTTGATAGTCGCTGAGATACTTGCAGGTTTCTAAGTGAGCGAAGGCGCTTTTTCTAAATTTGGCTACTCTTGGCTGCGCCTATTTGTCTCTGCAAAGTAATGGATATCCACCAGTTTTAGGTGAAGCAGGAATCGATGTTTGTAATGGATTTTAATTGAGGAAAATGAGAGTTGTAAACTTGCAAGAATATTGCCATTGGTGTTTGGGATATCGAAGAGAAAGAAAAAAATATTTTTAAAGATGACTTTTTTTCCGCTGGAAACTTCTTAGCTGCTGCAGAGCAAGTGCATAT